GGAGGAGCAGGAGGACCTGAGGAGACCAGTTGTTGGAGGAGCAGGAGAACCTGAGGAGACCAGTTGTTGGAGGAGCAGGAGGACCTGAGGAGACCAGTTGTTGGAGGTGCAGGAGGACCTGAGGAGACCAGTTGTTGGAGGTGCAGGAGGACCTGAGGAGACCAGTTGTTGGAGGTTTACGAGGACCTGAGGAGACCAGTTGTTGGAGGGTTTGGTTAGGGTCAGAGGTAGCTGCTGCCTCTGAGGTTCTTGTTCTGTGAGCTCAGACTTGAGCAGGTTCTTCTTGTCTCTTCATGGGATTATTAGCTGGCGATGATGGAGATTCAACATTTTTCATTCATGAACTTTGTTCTGAAAATTTTCCACTAGTCTTAGAGACAGTTTGTCACAGAATGATGAACCTCCGCCCACCTTTACTTCTGACACTCAGCCTCCATTACAGTGTCCCATTAAACCCAGTCCTCCTACTGACCAGTTAATGGGGGAGTGGTGGCGCAGAGTTTAGAGACGGTGGGCCTGTGATCGGAAAATCACAGGTTCAAGCCTCGGTACCGACAACATAAAAAATGTGGGTGGGGTAGGTGAAGCACCCACCCTCATTTGCCCCACCCTGGGCGCATGAGCAAGGCCCTTAACTCCCACCTGCTCCCTAAAAAACAGGTCTCTCTTGAAAATGAGTTCTCGTGGCTCAATGAGACTACCTGGATAAATAAAGGCTAAATGAAAAAATTATTTTTAATCCTATTAGTTACAAAAAACTCTCCTCCAGCAGTTTTTTATTTGTACAACTTATTTTTTTACAGCCTCTTCATGGTCCTGGAACAACTTTTCAGATGCGTTGCTGCAATAAAATTCAAATGTACCTTTTTATACTATAAAAATGCTACAATTTTTAATTTTAATGTATGCTTACTATTTTCTACTGTAAGTAAAATAAAATAATAACCAACTGGACTTCTGGTGTTTAGTTAAATACGTTTTACTTCAGGGAGTGTTTTCATTTCAAGAGTTTAAACTGAGCATGCAACAATGACGTTGATGACCCTCAGAAGGGAGGGAGGGAGTTTAATCTGCATGTGAGTTGAGCTCCATAAATGGATCATCTCATAAAGTTTGGACAAGAAAAATCTTCTGGGATGGAAGCAAAACATGAAGTCGAATAGTTTTATTTTTATACTTTCAGTATTTTCTGTGAGTGAACACCAACATTAATTATGATCGTTTTGTTTTTATTTACACTCAACTTTTGTAAAACTGCAGTTGTGAGCAGAAACAGCAACAACCTCTTCTGCTTCCAAATAATTCACTAATGAGAGTTGGACGTCAGGGGGTCCGTGGAGGGGCTTCACAATTATCTGAACCACATGTGTTTCTAGCAGGCAGGGCAGAGCGTTCTTAAGCCAAGAAAAAGTTTTAAGAAAGCTCCACCTACTCTTAATTCCATTCATCCTGCACAAGCTTGTTTCAAAGCAATCATTCATTTCAAGCAGTTTGTGACTCACAAGCTGTGATTGCTCAAGAGCTCCAGCCTCAGTGTTGAAACCAGCGTCCTGGAAGGACACGCAGGACGGTCCTCCTGCTGCAGGAAGACGAGGAGCTGGAAACTTTATGTAACTGGAAAAGAAAAAGTGATGCATACCTGACTTTAAAAACCTGCTGCAGCTTCACCTTTCCACATTAAAACCTCCTCTGTGCTCCTCGTGTGTTTCTTGGAACCGGCGGGGGTTTTGGGCGGGGGCAGATGGGTGGACACGTCTTGGTGTGTACATTTTGTTAAGCAAAAACTTTTCATTCAGCCAAAACTATTGTACAGACAAAACTAAAAAAGCTGTGATGTCTCAGTGCTGACTAACAGCTGAAGACTGTTGGAGAATTAAAGCTAAAACAGGCTGAACAGTAGCTAAAATTAGACAAACCATAAAAGCTCAAATGAGTAAAACCATTACTTAAAACTTAAACTGACCAATTTAGCAAACCACAGCTAAAAGCAAAATTTAGCTCAAGTGTGAATAAATGCTAAAATTAGTCAACTAGTGTCAAAACTCTAAGTTTAAAAGAACAGCAGTGCTAAAACCAAAAAGTATCTAAAACTTGTACTGTACAGTGCCTTACGAAAGTATTCGGCTCCTTGAACTTTTCAACCTTTTGCCACATTTCAGGCTTCAAACATAAAGATATAACATTTTTATTTTTTGTGAAGACGTATTGTCCGTTGAAGATGTTTGAGACGCGTACATACTCGAATTTATGTTAACAGGGTTTCTGCTTTTTGGAATCAGCGGATACCTGTGATATCAAGAAATCAGGAAGACGTCAAAAAAAAAAAGTATGACTTTTTATAACTGTTTATTGTTGTCGTTGTTGTCATCATCCTTTGTTGAAATCAGGTCTCTCTTGTAGATGAGTCCTCGAGGCTCAATGGGATTTACCTGTAGAAATAAAGGTTGAATGAATCAGGAAGACGGCAGCATGGTGGCGCAACTGGTAGAGCTGCTGCCTCTCAGCGAGCAGGTCCCTGGTTCAAACCCCGGTCCAGGGGCCTTTCTGGGTGGAGTTTGCATGTTCTCTCCGTGCATGCGTGGGTTTTCTC